AGCTCTTGACGAGTCAGTCCCGTGTAAGTCTGCAGTGGCACGTGAGATGAATGAGACGACCCCAACTCGTCATTGTATGTCAAGGGGTTAATAATAACATTGTGTATCATCATCATTGTGTAGCTGCGAGAAAAACGCCGCGAGTCAAAATACCGATCACTAATCCTTCATACGCGTCGTCATCCTACTACGTCATTTTCTTCAGTCTGTGGAATTTGTTTCCACGGATGTTTTTTTTGCGGCTACCACGTAAATCCTATTTACCACGATTCAGTTGACGCGCGGTAACTGAAATAGCTCGCAACTGTCACTCGCGGTGTTTTTCCCTATAGCCGCGGATACGTAAGGTCGTTGCAGAAATGCCACAACATTCGGCAAAAAACATTTTTTATCGTTTTTGGGTGCTGCGTCTGGTAGCGTATAGCGTCTCTCTCTCTCTCTCTCTCTCTCTCTCTCTCTCTCTCTCCCAGCAGACTCGTTAGCAAAACACAGAGGGCTAGTGGGAAAGGCGAAGCGTAGTTTCTTGCGACGGCACGCGAGCGCAAGAAAGCGGTATCGAAAAGTAAACAAGGTGGCAAGGGTGTTCGGCAGGGTGCTGCGGGGGCGAACGGGAGGGCAGAGCGTAAACTCCGATGGGTCGATGCATGGTGGCCAGGGGTCGGTCGGGGGCATGGCAGAGGGATAGCAGAGGAACGAGCGGATGGATTTATAGAGAGACAAGCGGACGTAAATATAGACTCGTGCATAGGTATGGTGTGTGCAGGGGCGAGAGGGGGGCCGGGGGGTCGAGAGCACGTAAGGTGAGACACAAAGGAGAGGGACGATGAAAGGAGAAGGCGAGCCAGGTTGGAAGGAAAACAACGATCCCTTGAAGTCGAGTGCCGATGCAGAGTGGGGGCCCTGGGTGCAGGAGAGGCAGAGGGGACGAGGAGGCAGAAGGAGAGGTCTCGCGATATCGGCGTTCGAGAAGTCAAACCGGTGGCTTTACCGTTATACGACCCAATGACGAGACGTCGCGTCGTCGTCGTCGTCGTTGCCATCGTCTCCGTCGATCGTTTCCACCACAACGCGAGAATCTGTTGAAGCAGTTCACCTCTCCCGGGAAAGAGTCCCCGAGGACCCACCTGGCCATCGGGTGTCGTCGATCGTCGCCTACGTCCCGCGTTCGAAATATTTAATCGCAATCGTCGTTGGTCGGCTGACCCGAACGAGTCGACCCTCTGAAGCTTCGAAGACGTCCCATAAGGTTATGCCAACTGCGGCAGAAATTTTCATCGTTCGTAGTAAGATAGTGTACTTGCAATTAATGAAATAGGTAGATAAACTTTGATCTTGTTGAGATTTACGTGATAGGTGGTCCACGAGTCACTCTTTAACACGGATTTTTTTGTAAAACCCAACGTCGATGTCAAAAGGGTGCAAGCAACCCTCAAAGTGGAGGATCGAAACCGTGGTAAAAATTCGTCGTTTTTCGTACGAAGAATACGATATTTAGTTGTCGATTAATAAAATAAGTACACGAACTCCGATCTTGTTGAGATTTACGTGATAGGTGGTCCACGAGTTACTCTTTAATATGAATTTTTTCCGAAACCAAACGTCGATGTCAAAAGGCTGCAACTAACCCTCAAAGTAGAAGATCGAAACCGCGGTAAAAATTCATTGTTTTCCGCATATAGAATACGATATTTAGTCGTCGATTAATAAAATAAGTAGACGTACACCGATCTTCTTGAGATTTACGTGATAGGTGGTCTACGAGTCACTCTTTAACTCGAATTTTTTCCAAAACCTAACGTCGATGTCAAAAGGATGCAAGCAACCCTCAAAGTACAAAATCGAAACCGCGGTGAAAATTCGTTGTTTTCCGCACGTAGAATACGATGTTTAGTCGTCGATTAATAAAATAAGTACACGAACTCCGACCTCGTTGATATTCATCAGAAAAGTGGTCCACAAGTGTCTCTTTAATACGAATATTTTCCGAAACCAAACATCGATTTCAAAAGGGTGCAATAAACTGCCAAAGCGAGAGGTCGAAACCGCGCGGTAAAAGATCATCGTTCTCTGCACATAAAATACAGTATTTAGTTGTCGATCAATAAAATAAATATAGGAACTCCGATTTTGCTGAAATTTACGCGGAAGGTGGTCCACGAGCGACCGTTCAACACCAATTTCAACCAAAGCCAATCGCCAATATCGAAAGGGTTGCGACCAACCCCCAAAGCGAGAGGTCAAAATCGCGGTAAAAATTCGTCGTTCTCCGCGTGTAGACGATGGTATTTATCGTTGACCGTTTCAAGCACGGCCGCGAGAATCGTTGTAGTATCGCTTCTCTTCTAGGAACGGGTCCCCGGGGACCCAGCTGGCGGCCGGGTGCCACCGATGATCGCGTACCCGTAGGCACACTAGGTTCTTTGTGCGTCGCGTTCGTCCCGCATTTGAAATATTTAAACGCCAGCCGTCGTCGGTCAGATGACCCGAATGCATCGCGCTCCGGTTTCGTTATCTCCGGGCGTCCGCTTCATCGGCAGCTCGTACAGGTCGTCAGAGATAACGGCAATTGGAGCGCAAACGGAACACAACGAAACTCTCTCGATAATCGATGTTACCGATGTCGCTTCCGATTTCGGCCGGGTCATGCTCACCCCGCCGGATATTCTGCGGAATTGTAAGGAGACGCCGTCCAATGGCACCCTTTGGACCCGGCTGGGGCTCAGCACTGGCCGTCTTTGTTCCCTTTGGCTCCTGGAAGTCGTCTGTCTTAAGGTCCTCGCTGCAGATCTCAACGGGTGTATTCTAATGCGCGAAGCGTGTCCTTCATTAACTCCCTTCGAGACTCCGATGAAACTGTAAGCACACGATTTTGCACATTTGCTAGGTTTATTCGCACATGTTTCGGGAACGTTCACAAATTTTTACGGATCTTTTTTACTCGAGATATTTCTTCAGCACGATGCACAAATGCGTTCGCCGATTCCATCTTCGTGTTCTCTGCGAGGTAATAATTTTTTAGAGATGCGACCGAGAGTGATTTGAATTTTTTTGTTGAGATGTTAGCGAACGTTGCAGATGGTTGAAATAATTCTGAAACGATTGAAAGATGATGTTTCTTCTTCAGGAAAATTTACACAATGCGAAGTAGATCGGTTAACGAAATTACAGCGAAATTGCGATTATCGGGTCGATAAAAAAATGCGTCGATATATTTCCCGCGCCATTTCGATGGCTCCGATCGTCTGAGCTTTCTATCTTTCCGGTTGTCTACCCTTTCGAACCGTCCAAGGCACATCCGCGAGCCTGGATATCATCTCATGCGTTTTCGCGCGCGATATTTTTCAGCGACGACGTCGACCGATCTCTTCGTTGTCGTCCGAAGAAAAAGCGATTTATTCTTCTGAAAGACGGCACTGATTATCGAAATTGATGCGCACCGCGCGAGTCAAAAACAGCTCGGACAGCTGTTACGACCATGGCGGGGTCCGGCACCTCCTCTGTTCTCCTGTTTCGAGAAACCCCGTTCACGCTCGGCACAACATATTTTCCGAATAAATATTGCCCATCCACGTGCGAAGTCCTGCGCTTAAAAATAAACAATCGCAAAACTGTTTGCGACGATCGATAGTTCACCGAGATATATTTGATCGAACATCTGTTCCGTTCCCTCGCGAATGTGATCTTCGATACGCGCGATTCGAGCAACAAAGAAATATTTTGCCGAGCATCAAAACTGCATAAAAAAAAACGGGAATGCTCGGCCAATTGTTCTTTCGCGATGCGGCATCGGGGGGCGCGACATCTCGTTGCATTATTCGAAGGGGATGAAACTTCGCGAGAAAAAGAGATTCTTCGAATACTTTACGATTCGCGATTTTGCTCTATTTTCACCGCGCGAAATGTTTACAGTCGGTTAGCGTGAATTTATCTCGCGAATATTTATTAATTTTTAAGCATTAATATTGCAATTAATCGGTGAATATGTATTAAGTTGTGTATTAAGTCCGTTCGCATTTTCATGTGAGGAAGTATAGCACCGTGCAGTCGTCGACGCGAACGGACTTGTTATACAATTTCGTTCTAATCTATCCTATCTTAAAGTAGGCACTTCCAGCTTTCATTTAAGCTTAGTTGCACAAAAATAGCTCCATGGGAACGCAGCTTAAAATCCATTCGAACTTCTCCTTTTAGATCTCGTAAGCCCCATGACGCCGAAGCTGGATTCCCTTTAATTTTTCAAAATCATCTCGTCATTGTATTAAAATCTAATCTACCCTATCTCAAAATAGATACTTCCATCTTTCATTTAAGCCTAGTTGCACAAAAATATCTCCACGGGAACGCAGTTTAAAATCCATCCGAACTTCTCTTTTTAAATCTCTTAAACCTCATAACGTCGAAGCTCGATTCCTTCTAATTTTTCAAAATGTCCCTGTACCCTGTCTCAAAGTAGACACTTGCAGCTTTCACTTAAACTAAATTCCACAAAAATAGCTCCACGGGAACGCAGTTTAAAATCCATCCAAACTTCTCCTTTTAAATCTCGTAAACCCGGTGACGTCGAAGCTCGATTCCCTTTAATTTTTCAAAATGTTCACGTCAATCTATTGCAATTTAACCTATCCTGTCTCAAAGTAGACACTTCCAGCTTTCATTTAAGCTAAGTTTCATGGAAATATCCCCGCGAGAAGGTTTTGCAAAATTCATCCGAACTATCGCCTTCGAATGGGTGTCGTTTCCCTTATTTCGCTTATCACAACGTATTTATTCCAAAACATTATATTTTAATATTACACGATCATACACTATATACATAATATTTTATAATTTACTACCTAATATATAGAAACGACTCCCCAAATTGTCCACTTTCGTCTACAACTCGCGAGAGTTCGCCGCGCATTGTACAAACTGCGTCGAACCGCGTAAAAGAATAAAATCAGAAGTCGAGTATTTTCCAACGATATAATACTATACATCCACCCTAATTCGTTTTCCAGCGGCGGCGCAGGGTCGTTTGGAGGAGACGCAGATGGACACGCACGAGGGGTCCACGGTGCAGCTGCAGTGCCGTTTCTCCCCGCCCCGGGAGAACGTAACGTGTTTCTGGCTGACGCACACGAACGACAACCACGACAACGCGGCGGTGGACAACCGCGAGCTGTCGCCGCAGTATAAGGTGTTCATGAACCTGGAGGAGGGCCGGTACGACCTGCAGATCCGGAACGTGTCGTACGAGCGGGACAACGGGAAGTACGAGTGCCGCGTGAAGGCGAACGGCGCCGGGATCGACCTGCACCGGAAGTTCATCACGCTGACGGTGCTGAGGGCGCCGGGGCCGCCGACGATCACGCCTACGTCGGCGACCGCGACGGAGGGCCAGGAGATGAAGCTGCAGTGCGACACGAACGGCGGCAGCCCGGAACCGGAAGTCAGATGGTACCGGGGCAACGAGACGGCGTTGCTGCACTCGGGCAGGACGTTGCTGGTGCACCCGAAGAAGGAGGACGACAGGGCGACGTTCCGTTGCGTGGTGAGGAACAGAGCGATGCGCGACGGCGACACCTTGAACGCGACCGTCACCCTCGACGTGAATTACTTCCCGCGGGTCACGGTGGGCCCGGAGAACCCGCTGAAGGTGGAGGTGAACGGAGCGGCGAATCTCGAGTGCCGGGTCGACTCGAAGCCGATGGTGAGGTCGGTGCAGTGGAAGAGGGACGGCTACACGATGTCGGACAGCTTCCAGCACACCATCCGAACGGTGACGGTCCAGGACTCCGGCAAGTACACTTGCCAGGCGGACAACCGGCTCGGCAAGACGGGCGAGAGCTCGCTGATCTTGGACGTGCTGTACCCGCCCACCGTGTTCATCGAGGGCGAGACCGTGAAGGTGCTGCAGGTCGAGGACACCGTCACGGTCCACTGTAACATCACCGCGAACCCTCCGCCGACGGTGGTCGAGTGGCTGCGCGACGGCCGACCGGAGTTTCGTCAGGACGGCTCGATCCTTCGACTGAGCCGCGTCACGGCCGACCACGCCGGCAACTACACCTGCAGGGTGGTCAACACGATCCACCCTTCCGGCGGCGATCGCAGGAACTACTCCGCCACCGCGAAGCTCACCGTCAGAGTCAAGCACAAGCCAGGACCCGCGAGGGTCACCCCGGACTCGCCGGTCGCCGTCGAAGGGTCCAAGGTGATCCTGACTTGCATGACCAGCCCGGCCGGCTACCCGGAGCCCACGTACACCTGGTGGAAGGAGGGCGACTCCAGCGTGATGAACCTGAACAACTCCAGGCCGAAGTACGAGATCGATTTCGTCCATCTGGGCAGCGAGGGCACCTACAAGTGTTACGCCGAGAACGACGTCGGCCGCGGCGAGGCCGCCTGCGTCAACCTGACGGTCCATCAGCCGCCCAAGATACTCACGAAACTGCAGCCCCACGTTACCAGGAAGTGAGTAGATTAAATGATGGCTTTCCGCCGCCGCGCCTCGCGCACCCTGCGTGTTGTACCCCTTTCGATCTCTCGAAAAGGAAAACTAGATCAATATCCTTCAATTTGGTAAAAGGAACGCAGGACGCCGAGGGCTCTCTAAGGCTCTACGCCAGTGCCTCCCAACCTTGATGCACCCTGGTCCCGTTGATCCCGATGCACCGACTGGCACGGCAGGGAACAAGCTTGTGGAATTGTTTAAATATATGGCTCGGCTCTTTGCACTCGGCGAGACTCTGTGGCACCGTTGACACCAGAATTCGTCGAAATTATTAACCCTTTTAACGCCATCATTGATGCTATGCGAAAAATACCGGGTCAATTTGTCGAATTTGCTAACCCCCTAATTTGGGGAGAGAGTTCGTAGAAAGCAAAGTAAGAGTGATATTCACTAAATTCGAGAAGGAGCGTGTTAGGAAATGATGGGAGAGTAAGATAACGACGATTGTATTTAAATGTTTGTTGAGAATCGTACTGATAACATAAATATAAAACAATATGAGAAAGAATTTCAAAAAAATTCTTTTTGTTCGAGACAGTATTTGCACGTAAGAACGATCATCGTTTGATCATAGCTTTGTGTAGATCACCTAGTATGAAGTATAGATATTGCACTTTCAATCGTTTCTAACAAAATAATTGATATCGGACCATAAAAATAAAAAAAAAAGGCTAAACAACAATGCTATGATGCAAGGGAAAGCGTCAGAAGGATCTGTTAAGAAAACAAGTGAATTGGTGTAGCTAGCATAACGTTACACTGAACAAAATTTTAGTATTATTATAAATATCTATATCTAGTTATCAGGCTACCGGAAAAATGTGCAATATTGGTTACTTTATTATTACTCGCACAAATAGTTTATTTGGCATCGATACTTACTGATACATACATTAATGCATCCCATCGCATACGCAACGATATACATATCGTCGTTCGGCACTGAAAGGGTTAAAGCAATCGACGAAACTGACGGACGCAGATTCAAGTGCAAAGAGTTGAACCCGATCATAATTGGATCGTAAAAAGTTTTTAGCATTATTAGAATTATTAGCATCAACTATGCACCAGCTTTGCAGCAGCTTTGCAGAAGCTTTGCACCAGTTTTGCAACAGCTTGCAGTTCACTGTCTTGTCGAGACGACTACAACGCGGCCGTCTTCTTCTCGGAACATTGGGACCGCGACATCAAAGCGTTCAAAATCATAGCGCGTTGGGAAACCCTGCTCGCACGGTGTTCGCAGCTCGGGAAGCTGAACGCCGGGAATTTAGCATTATAAGGCGTCGGTCCTGTGAAAACGATTGTTCCTGATCCGATAAAGTTTACGAGCGAATTAATAGCGCCGCCGTATTGTGCATCGATGGCTCGTCGTTTATGCAGCGCGTTCGAACTTCCATCGGCGAGTCGCGTTCTCGATCCAGACCCCGTTCTCTCGATCCAGACCTCGTTCTCTCGATCCAGACTCCCCACTCGATCTAGGCTTCTCTCTCGTTCCTGATTTTCGGCGACTCGGGGCCGCGGAACGAGAGAGCGAGAGAGAACAAGAGAACGCGTTAACCAAATGTTTCGCTCGCGACGCAACTGTACACGATAATTGAACGGCGTACAAAAGGCTCCGATAACTCGAGTCAAATTCGAGTAATCCGAGTAATTTCGTTAAACCCTCCTGGGGCCTCGTAGATCCACAGGCCGCGAAAAATTAATCCGCCATATTGTAAATCTCGTCAGAAGTTTCTCCCCGGCCGGGTGTTCTCCGCGGCAATATCGTACCCGAACCGGACCGTGATCCTTTAATTTATGCATTGCTACGTTCCGCAAACTTACATTATTTCAATCGTCGAAATTCGAGGTATCTTAAATGAAACGCGCGAGCGCGGGGGTAGAATGGAGGAGGGGGCGCCATCGTTCCGATTGAAAAATTAAACGGCGAGCGAGAGGCCGCTTTGTCCAGAGATCTTTGTGCGCCCGGGAATACATCGAATTTCGCAGTCCAGTTACAAGCATCCTGTTTCCCTCTCCTCTCGCGAAGCCTAGAGAGAGAGAGAGAGAGAGAGAGAGAGAGAGAGGGAGAGAGAGAGAACACTCGAAACATTTTCACCCTTGCAATATCGATCCCAGTCAGATCCGGGGAACGCGAGGCCCGTTAACGCGGAGGATTCTAAAATCGCGGTTTTTCGCGGAATTATCCGGCGACGACGATAATGACGATGATGATGACTCCGTAGTTAAATACGAGGGACACGATTGTTTCGCAGGGTCGGCGAGTCCTCGTTCCAAGTGTCCTGCGTGGCGCAGGGCAAGCCGAGGCCGAGCGTCCGCTGGCTGAAGGACGACCTGGAGCTGACCGCGGACGAGCGGCTGTACAAGGTGACGACGAGCGCGTCGGAGGGCCACGGTAACGTGATCACGGTGAACTCGACGCTGAGCTTCCTGGGTCACGCGCGACCCCAGACCGACGAGATCGTGGCGAGCGACCGGGGCAAGTACACGTGCGTGTTCGAGAACGAGGTGAAGAAGGTAGAGTCGACGATGATGCTGAAGGTGGAGCACGAGCCGATCGCGTTGCACCAGCACGGCAAGGTCGCGTACAACCTGCGGGAGACCGCTGAGGTCGCCTGCAAAGTGCAAGCCTGGCCGAAGCCCGAGTTCCAGTGGAGCTTCGGAACGAACGCCGCCAGTCTCCAGGGCTCCTCGAGCGACGGCCACTACGAGATCTCGACGAGCAGCGACAACTACGACGTGTACACGTCCGTGCTGAGGATAACGAACATCCGCGAGCTGGATTACGGGGATTACAGCTGTCGGGCGGCGAACGCGCAGGGCAGCATCACCTCGACGATACGGCTGCAGCCGAAAGGAGCCCCCGAGCGGCCCATCAACATCACCGCCATGGACATCGGGCCGACCCACGTGGCCCTCCTGTGGGAGCTCGGGTTCGACGGCGGGCTGCCCATCACCAAGTACTTCGTCTTCTACAAACGAGTGCCCGGCGGCGACGAGATCCTCGCGCAGGACTGCGCCATGCCAAGGTCGCCAACCGGCCAATGGCTCGAGCTCGACTGCAAGAGGTCGAACCCCTGCAACGTCACCAATCTCGAGCAACACCAGACCTACACGTTCCGGGTGCGAGTGTACAACACGAAGAACCACTCGGACTTCTCCGACGAGGTCACCGCGACCACCGCCGTCGCCAAGATACCGGTGCCGGAGAAGGTCAGCTATGATCCGAAAAGCGGCATGCTGGCCATCGTGGTACCCGCCACTTGCCTGTCCCTGGTCGCATCCATCGAGAAACTCGAGCCACCCATGTCGCCCCGAGACGCCCATGATCCGCAGTGGAGGATTTTGGACGAGTGGCAGCTCGACGTCCTTGGAAGCGCGTCTACCGAGAGGGACGGCGAGCTGGAGGACCCCGAGGATCTCGGCGACGAGCCCAGGCTAAGGGTCAGGTTCTGTCTGAAGGCTGACAGGCAGAAGTGCGGCGAGTACACCGACGCTGCGTGTGAGTTCACTTTTCAGGCCGGTCGTCGACTGGGGGGGGATTTATAGTAAATTCTTATTAATTGACGCTTGGCTTGGAAACAAGTATGGACAATTTGGGAGATACGATTGTTCCAGCATTACAGCTTGCTTTTTATAGTTACCGATTGTCAACAACTATGAAAATGAGCTGCAAGGCTCGTATCTCAGTCCGAGCTTCAATTAGGGAGAATTTAGTGTATATATAGATTTTTGAGATATTAGATAGACTGTAAATATTTTTATAACTAAAACTAGAACTATGTATATAGCTATTTTTATAACTAGAACTAGCAATTTCAAATATATTTAACTACGTGATTGCAGTACGTAACTATTTAATTACTGTTTAAAAAATAAATAGTTTATTTGTCAAATTCTGTGTTGCTCGAGAACGTGAAAATATTTACAGTCTATTTACCATCTCAGAAATGTATTTTCTGTGAACAGACCTAACTTGATCTAAACCTACCCTTTTGTTCACCTTCTTTAACCCTTTGCACTCTAGTGGTGACTCTGAGGCGACACTAAAAATTGGTATACTATTTTTCAAAATCATTCTAAGAGCATCAAACTCGTTTATATTTTAAAAAAGCTATTAAAATTGCATTATACTTGCATAAATCACAATAAATTATATAAAATAGAAATACTGTAGATCAGAAATCATATTTTAGATTTCGAATTCAAATAGCTTCGACTGCAAAGGGTTCAACTATTCTTAACGTAGCAACGATAATGATTTCTAGCAATGTTAGGTACGAATGTTGTCCTGATTTTTAAACTCGAAACAATATTCTGTCATCTTTTGTCATCGGTATACAAGCACCCTATTAAATGTAGGCACGTCGTAAACGTAAAAAACTACCCTTTTCTTCTGAGAAAGGGCAACAATAATATATATTTTAGCCAATGAGATTGCAACGCGCCTAAATTATTCAAGGGAGTTATGCGAGATCCGATTACGTCGAACGGAAAATGAAAATACGAGTAGCAGGAGAAATCGTATTTTATTATTAATTGAAATCGCGCATATACGTGGCAGATAATACATTTTATTATATTATTATACGGCACAGTATTTTATTAATCGTATATATCGTGGCACAAGTTGAGTCGTGTCCTTCCTCTGATGGATTGCGACACGCGAGCCGTCGTTTCAGACAAGATTTGCAGCCACGATGCATTTTACCAATTTCTTCTGTTCGCTGCCGGATACAGATTGTCCTTCCTAGAGTTGTAATCGCTCTGAAAATTAATTAAGATATCGTTACACATAGAGTTGGAAAAAAAAGAGATGACAGATTATTTTTCAATTTTATTCTCCCATTTGAACACGCACCTTTCTCATTGTCTATCAGTCGGGCCATCGTACATCGCGCAAGCAGGTGCAATGACGACGCCTACGCTGATCGCATTGGTGGTTAGCGGGGCGGTTTTCCTGTTGTTCGCGGCGCTGTTGTTGCTCTTTTGTCGGTGTCGTCGAAAGCACGCCACCAAGGCCAAGGACTACGAGATGGACTCGAACGCGTGAGTACTTCCTACTGATTCTGCAGGGTGCGATACGCGTGGCAGGTGAGAGATTTTCATGGTGTTTGTTTGTTTGTTCGATCAGGGTGCGACCGAGCTTGGTCGCGGGGAACGGCCAGCAGAACCAAGCACCGCCGCCTTATTATGCCGAGAACAAGGCTTTAGAACACAGTTTGGACCACGCACTGGCCATGGAGGACTCGAAGACCCCTGCGTACTCGCAGCCTGGCTACGGGTACCATCAACCGAACCACAATATCAATGGTATGCACGGGGTATTAGACAAATTCGTGCTGGAACGTATAAGTAAATTAATGATATTAGCAATTAGGAGGATATCAGTAAATTAATGATGAAGGATATCGGTATATTAACCCTTTGCACTCGAGTGGTGACTCTGAGAAACCACACAAATTTGTTGTATTACTTTTTAAGATAGTTTTGATATTAACAAAGTTTAGATTTAAAAAATTATTAGGAGCGTAACTGTTGTGCGAGTCCCAAGAGTCAATTTAATATGCATAACATGCATTTTGTCATATAATATAGATATACTATAAGTTAGAAAAATAATTTTATATTTACAGTTAAAATAGTTTCGAGTGCAAAGGGTTAATGATAGAGGATATCAGTATATTAATGATAGAGGATATCAGTATATTAATGATAGAGGATATCAGTATATTAATGATAGAGAATATCAGTAAATTAATGATAGTGGATATCAGTAAATTAATGATACAAGATATCAGTAAATTAAGGATAGAGGACATCAGTAAATTAATGATACAAGATATCAATAAATCAAGAATAGATACGACTAAATTAAGAATAGACAATATCACTAAATCAAGTGTAGAAAATATTATTAAATTAAAACTGAAGAACATCAGTAAACTGGAACCGTTCATGGACACTTTGGGCAGGGCGTGCAGAAGTTAGGAAAACTTTGGGACCCGGTACAAGGTCACAGCACCAGAGATACCATCAAATTAGAGTCGCAGAATTTTATGAACACTTTGGACACGCTGTTTAGACTCTAAAAAAAATCTGGCAGCCACGACAATGCCGCAGAGAACCAGAAAACCCAATTAACTTAGAACCGTAGAATTTTATGGACGCGTCGAACACGAGGTCTCGTGTAGAAGCTAAGAAAAAACATTGGGACCCACTACGAAGTCGCAAAACCGGAAACACCGTCGAATTAGGATCGTGAAATCAGGCGGGAACATTTCGGTCCCCGGGTCTGGAGAAATCTCGGCCCGCCGGCGAAAAGAAGCTGGCAGAACCACGAAAAATATAGAACAAGATAATTAGAGCGATCCTCTCGCGTCTCCGCTATTTTAAGCAGCCACCGAGCGGCCACGATCTTCCAAGAGAGAACGATGGCGCGTCTCGAGAAGCCTCTCGGGCACGGTGCCAATTGTCAGAAAATATTCAGCGCCGGCGAAACGCCGGGTAATAATAATCGTTTGAAGGTTCCGCGCGGCCGGCGAGAAGCAGCGAGCCTCGGCGTGTCGGAAAACGGGGCGCGGAAGGGCCTGTTTTTCGACGGCTAATCCCGGGGACAAAAGGGCACCCGCGTTCCGGAGGAAGACGTCGTCGGGAGCCGTTTTCGTCGCGTTCGCGGGGAACCAGAGGTCCGTCGTCGGCCGGAGAACAGGTTCCATTCCGCGGCGCCCCTCGCCCCGACCAGTTACCGCGGGGATGGAAACAATGGCGGCGGAAAAAGTTGGCTTAACGAGGTCTAACTTCCTACGATTATACTTTTTCGCGGAGTGCGACCGTATACCTGCAAAGTGCAACAGCAATTTGCCATTTCTTTCCATCCTCGCCGGTAAAGAGATGTGGCACGTCCTAGTTGCGTGACTCGGCCCCTATACGGGCCGTGGATAATTCATACGGCAGTTACGCGGCGAACGAAGGATGCGGCCTGGCGAGGGGTGGCGAGGGGAGGCGAGGCGTCTCGCGAACAATCCCGCGATAAGACGGCACAGTGTCTTCTACCGGATGGATATCTCTTGATACCATCCGAGGGAAAAGATGTCGCGTTCCGCGGCAGCGAATCGTGCGCCGTCAAAAATATTTGATGACCACACTAAACGCCGGCGTTCTCCTCCTACGGTCCCCGAGTGCTTCAGCTTTTTCGAACGGCCAACTCGCAAACTAGATTTTTATCGAGCCCCGCGTGGTTCAACCGATCCCAACCCCCTGCTCGCCGCGCACGGTCCAACTAATTCGTGGACTTTTTCTCGTGAAGCCGGACCGGCCCAATTTTTAGTTCGATCGAATGAAATGCTTCAATTTGATCAAGGGAGTTTTTTCCGAGGATGTTAACGCGCGCCGAGCGAACCGTTAACGGTCTTTAGAGACGCGGATCTTTTCTGCGAAAATGAGGACTGTTGTCCTCGATTGCAAGAATCGGGAGGCGAATAATCGTTGATGTTCGCGTTCGAGGAATTTTAATAGGTCGGAAATCACTGTTCCAATGTTCTCCACGTATTTAATATTTTATTTGATATTTAATATGATTTAATACTTCATATTATTTAACAGTTAGATCCTTTCAAGGTGCAGTAAATTCTTCCTAATTTTCCTTCAGCTTGTAAGCAAAAATATAATAATTTGGGAAGAGGAGATACGATTATCCGAGCCTTGCATCCCCCGTTTTTATAATTGTTGGCAATTGGCAGCTATAAAAATGAGTCGCGAGACTTGAATAATAATAATAATAATAATAATAATAATAATAATCTCTCTCCTCTTCCCAAATTGCTCGTTTTTGTACAGGGAAAATTTACTGTACTTAGCTCATACATGCATGAAATCCACGGTCATCTCAAACTGGTTGTTCACGCGTGATAAAAAATTGTCTTTCTCGATTGCAAGTAGCAGAAGTTAAATAAACATCGACGCTCGCATTTCAACAGTTTTAATCCTTTAATGGCCGCGCGTCTACGTAGTCAAACGTCGCCAGGGGTAGGCAATATTTATTTTATATATATAGATGTTGAATTTAATATGAAATTAATATTTATAAATATGAATAACAGTAGGCAATATTTATTCATATATATAAATATTAATTTCATATTAAATTCATGAAAAATTCAACATCTGCGAAGATACACATGAAACAAAACAAAAAGCAACAACAACAACAACGACACATTTAATACAACAAATTTAATATTTTTCCTTTACGTGACAATTATTGAAGCAATCATCCACATAATTATTAAAGCAGCACACAGATGTTCTGCGAGCGGCCATTAAAGTGCGAATAGCTCGGAAGTAGCAGTTCGATTCTTTCAAGTAAAACATTAGCTTTTGTTCACTTTCTCGATACGTCGAAAAGAAAAAAAAATAGATCGAAAATAATATAACAACATCCTCAAAGTCTAAACAACGTTTCCACCGTTCTCCGTTCGAACTGCAGAGCGTTCATAAAAATGCGTAAAATCCGCAGTCCAACGTAATTCGAAACGGTGCGTGTCGCCCAGAAATTCGCACGGTTCGCAACAAACTGCAGAAGGCAATTTTACTTTCCGAAACCCAAAGTGTCCACAAACGAACGCGCGCTCTCTTCTCAGCTTGCCTTATTCTCGAGGCAGACGCGTCGATGGTTCGTAAAAGTTGCAACGGCAATTAAAACGATAGCTGCTCGATAGCTGGTCGGGCTAAGCGACGCCGAGAGAAGGCATAACAATAATGACCGAAGAGAGGGCCTCGTTCGTTAAACCGGTGTTTAATAATCGGGCTTGGCTCTCCCGCGAGCATTAGCTTCATTACTTAATGCTCGCGCGACGATGCGAGTTTTTGAGCCAGGCTGGCCGCGAACGTTTGCGCGCGGATTATCGTTGACTCGCCTCGACGCGACGCTGCGTTCCGCCGCCGCCGCCGCGAATATTAATCCCGAAATCGATCGCAATTAACCGGAAACGATGCGGCTGCGTTTGTTTGTCCGTACAGGTGTGAACATGGGCTACATGGACAACAGCTACTCGAACTCGAATAACGGAGGATCGGTGAACTCGCAAGACTCCATCTGGCAGATGAAGTCGGCGGCCGCGAACGGAGTCGGCCAGCCCTACGACCTGGCCGGCTACGCGACCACCGAGTCGGATTATCCGACCCACCCTCATTACCTCCCACAGAGGGAGGATTACCGGGAAAGCCATAATCTAAGTCGACAGCAGTTTTGCTCGGAACCATTCGCCACCGTCGTAAAGTCTCAAAAACACGTCGGTGAGTAGTATTCTTTTAGCTCTCTCCTCTTTTCTCGTTCTTTTTCTTCCCCTCTTTCTCCCCCTCACCCTTTCTTTCTCCCTCTCTTTCTCTCCCTCACCCTTTCTCTCTCTCTCCCTCCTTTATCTCTTTTTCTTCCCGCGCGTCTGCTCGTCCCTCTCGCGTTCCTTTTTCCCCCTATTACTCTATTTCTTCTCTCCGCGTTCCTGTTTCGTTTCCGCGAACCGTTTCTCTTCCCGTAGCCACCCCCCCGCCGCCCCCGATCGACCCAACGATGGACGTTCAATTCTACCTGTCGCGAGTTCCCGAGCAATTTAGTCATACCGAAAGTTCTCGCAATCGCCCTCGGTCCGGAGAGGATATTTCAAGACGTCGAAAACATCTTGACAGGCCATTAATGGTCTTAATAAATTCGGGGGGGGGGCGGTGGCGAGGAGGACCCTCGAAAGTTTCGCGGTTCGCGAACCGATTTATCGGCGGCTCGCTAAATTGTTTCGCTGGAGGGAACTCTTCCGTCGGACCCTCGAGCATCCCTTCGAGCACCCCTTCGACAGAATTATCCCCGTGACCTTGGGAATTGGTCGCGATTATCGAATGTCTCTCGATCGCAACCGGTCTGTCGTCCATGGACAAATTCCGCGGCAGTCTCTTCTTCTCTCGCTTATTCACGCTTTGCTTGACGGAACCCTGTGGACCACCCATCGCAACCGCGGCCATTTTGAATCGGAATTTGACATAGTTTTTCCGACCTGTCTCCGTTTCTCGTACGACCCGACGCATTTTATGCGGGTTATATTGTATTTTGCGACTCGTGCAATGGTTACAAATTTGACAGTTTTTTCTTTTTTTTTTTTAAATAGGATTTAGCAATCAAATTTGGCCATGTTGAAATTATTTTGAAACGCGACGTGACAATTTGTTGCGGAGTCGCCGAAAGGGGTTGATACGTGAAATATACTTTTCGCTGTATTTAGAACATAGTTGAAAGAAGCTTTCTTTTAGACTTCAGCTTTTAGACCAGCTTTAGATTAGCTTAGCTTATTTAGATTAGATATTTAAATTAGTTTAATTTATTTGGATTTTAGATATATTTATATAATTTTTTTTATAAAATTATAATATAATTATAGAATTTATATAATTAATGCAATATAATTCATATGATATTCGTAATAAATAAATAAATTAATTAACTAATCTATATTTAGATTACATTAGCTTAGCTCTTCTAGACTTTAACTTTCGAAGAAATGTTCTCTTAAATAACAATCTCAAGAAAAGTTCTCGCGTGATATTGTATTATATAAATAATTTGTTGAATTATATCAGTGAAATAGCTGGCGATTTTCGAGCCTTTTTTAAGAGACTCCCGCCTCTCGAACTCCGATCTTCAATGAACTATTACAGCAGAGAAACCGTCGACAGTTGAGACGTTAAATTTTTAGAATCACAACCCTTAGTCGAACTTTTCTTTCGTGTTTCGCGATAAATATATTCTCTGATAATTGAACAGTCTCGAATAACGAATGACCTAGTAACAACAAAAAGAGTCTTCGGTCGGATTGGTTGGCCAGTTTTCTCGTGCTTCCGTCGCGAAAGAAAAGTCGTTTCGAGAAACCGCGTTAAAGTTTCCGATACTTTTCCCTCCCCCCTCCCACGCGCGACCTCTCTCCCCTGAAACGGCCACAGAAGTCGAAATACTTTGAATTTCTCCGTCGAAACTCTGTCGTTACATCATCGCGGCGCAAGCGTTTCCGAAATATCTGCGAAAGAAAGATCGATTTTTTCGAGTCGAACGAAGGAATAATCGTGGGACACGGTTTCCGCGGATCTCTCGGATTCGGAAGTTTGCGGGTCGCTCGAGCGAGTTTGGAACTTGACGACACTAATTCTTTATCTGTCCCTTCACGCTGTATTTCATCCGGCAATTTTCGTCGCGTTGGGATCGCGGGTTCCGTGGGAAAACGCTGACACGCCGGGTCTTTGACGCAGATTTTTCGCCGATAACGATCCAGGGACATCGGTCTTTATCGACGTCGGTTCGACGTTAAACCTTCGTCGACGCCGATCTCTTCTCGCCGGTGGCAACTTTAACCGACAGCGGCCTGCTCCGTCGACAACGGACTTTAGCGCCGACAGATCTTATCGACGACTGATTTTAGTGGCAACAGATTTCACTGATAACACAGAGTTTAGCGACCGGAGGCCATCGCTGGCAACAGATTTTAGTAATAGCTGGTTTCACTGACCACGGACTCGAGCGACAACTGATTTCACTGACGATAGGCTTGTCGGCTTCGCCGATAAGAAATTTCACTGAAAATAAACTTCGAGGACATTACTCCTGGTTATAGTATTTTTTTTTTTTTTTTAATGATTATTAGACTGCGGATCTTCGTGCAAGATTGTTATTTATATCGATTGTTATTTTAATAAGATCAAATTAATGTATTAACATCTTTGGTTTCGTTTAATTCTTATGCTGTTATAAATTGCATTTATTCATTTTTGGCGTAAGTGCATCAAATCTGCAGTCTAGTGATGGTAATATTCACTGATATTTTTCCTTGGCAATACTCTTCACTAGCAATACTCTTCACTATAATATTCTTCATTACAATATTCTTCATTATAATTTTCTTCACTATAATATTTATTTTCCACTATAATATTCTTCACTATAATATTTATTTTCTACTACAATATTCTTCACTATAATATTTATATTCTACTATAATGTTCTTGAGTGATAATACTTTTCACTGACAATATTTTTCCTTTGACTTACTCTCCACTGTAATACACTTCACTATAATATTTTTCCTTGACAATACTCTTCACTAACAATACTCTCTACTATGGTATACTTCACTATAACACTCTTCGCTATAATATTCTTCACTAATAATACTCTTTATTAATAATACTCTTCACTAATAATACTCTTGACTAATAATACTCTTCACTAATAATACTCTTCACTATAATATTCTTCACTAATAATACTCTTCACTAATAATACTCTCGACTATAATATACTTCACTGACAATACTCTTTACTGTAATATACTTCACTGACAATACTCTTCACTGCAATATACTTCACTGACAATACTCTTCACTGCAATATACTTCACTGACAATACTCTTTACTGACAATACCCTTTATTGACAACACCCTTTACTGACAACACCCTTTACTAAGAATACTCCTTCCTAACAATTTTACTTCACCGAACCCAATCTTGAATGACCGCATCGACATTAAACTTCATCCACATCAGATTCTCACGAACAGCAACATCGCCCAACAACAGATCACGCCGACACGAGTCATCTTCGATCAAGAACAACAATGAAAGTTGCGCCGGTCGAAGTTTGCACGAGAAGACGACCGCAGATCGTCGACGATTCCATAAAACCCAGTTCTCCTTTCGCTTTCACGCATATCCCAGCAACAGAAGAAGAGAGAGAGAGAGAGAGAGAGAGAGAGAGAGAAAGAGTAGGGTTGGGCATCTGAAAATTCAATTCCCTCCCGGCGGACATCTAAAACGTCCCGCGGCCCGGAAAGTTTCCTTAGAATCGACGTCGGTGACGGTTCCAGATACCTTCGTTTCCGGAATCGCAGCTCACGGGTGGTTCGCCGGTAAATAATGAAAACGTCTCGGTCGAGTAAGAAGACTACGAAGACGAAGAAGAAGAAGAAGAAGATTCCGTTCCGATTGAAAAGTGATAGAGAGCGCACGCGCGCGCGAGAGAGAGAGAGACCATCGTATCTGTGTTAGGGTTCGGGTTTAGTCCCTTCGGAAAGTATAGAGTCGCCCGTTGGCGTGTCCGGACCAGGGTCGGGATCGCATCCGATGCAATCTCGCCGCGCTCCTCCTCTCTCAGCTATTCCGCGCGCGTACGTCCGCAGCCGGTGGCACGTACACCTCTCCGGGTTGCCTGGGGGGTAGAGTGAGGTCGCTAGAGGGGAGAGGGACATACAGAAAACCAGCTACTATCCCGTTCCATCCTCACTCCGCCCTATCCTGTTTTCTCTGTTTTGTTTCCCTACTCTCAACAGCCGTTCTTGTTTGCCCGACAGATTCACCGTACGACGTGTCCGGTCTGCCGTATCAGGAGACCTACGACGAGGACGCGAAGCCGCCGCAGCAGGTCAGCCTGTCGTACGACGAGAGCCTGGAGTCGGGCTACTCGACCCCGAACAGCCGGGGCCGCCGGATCATCCGCGAGATAATCGTCTGAGACCTGCCTACCGGCTCGCGAGCCGGAACCACGCGGACCACTTGGCTCTAGCAGGAGGCAGCACCCACCGGCGGCGGTTACCGGCCGGTGGATCACCCGCGGGACAAGCCGCCGCCTCGCCATCGGATGGAGATAGTGATCGAGAACCCGGTCGAGTCGCCGCCACCCCCGCCCCCGCCGCCTCCGCCTCTGCCGCCGCCGCCGCCGCCGTCGACCTACGGCACCCTGACGTCCCCGCCGTCGACGAAGCCGCCGTGCGGCCAGCAAGCGGCCATCAGCAACAGCAACAGTAGCCAAATGCCAGCGGCAACCACCGTGATGACGATCACGATCGCCGAGAACCCCACAGCGCCCAGCCACCCCCCGGTCCGCTTCTCCTACCGGGAGTCGTACGCCTCGAACGCGCTCTCCTGCGCCAGCTCGCTGCCAGGAGACGCGTTCTCGCGCCGCAGCAACAGCCTGAGGAGACCCTACGACGACCCTGAAGGCGCGCCATCGGTCCGGAGGATCGACAAGTCCGGTCTGCTCGGTATCACGGAGCCGGAGCCGAGCGGACACAGAGCGGGGCTGCGCACCCCTAGGTTCCTTTCCGGTGTGGGTGCCTCGGGGCTGGTCTCGCCTAGAAGGTTCGAGTGCGTCGGCCAGCTGGACCCGGTCCCGGAGGTGCCAGGACAGACCAGCAGGGCCAACGTGGCCCCAGGAGCGGCGCAAGCCTACCCCTGCATCCCTGTACTGGACCGGAGGGACCCCTGCGAGGCTCTATCCGTTGCTACCCTTTCCAGGCCGCCGAAGTCCAGCTCGTTCGACTCGCTGGAGCCTAGAAGGAACGAGCGGCTGGAAGTGGAGAGCCTGCAGCACGCCTTCGAGCGCAGCCTAGAGGGCGTCGAGTCCTCCGGAGGCTATGGCTCGTTCCGGTTCCAGGAGGGCTGCGAGGCCAGGGCGAGGACCCTCGGCAGGCTGTCCAGGCTGTCCATGAAGCGGGAGAGCAAGATCCACGGGCTGGCCAAGTACTCCGAGACCTGCTGCAGCTTCCCGTTCAAGGCCAGGCAGCCGACGACGCTCCCAGGGATCGAGGGAGCCTCCGGTTTGCCGACTAGTCGCGCGACCACCGCGACCGTCAGCTCGTCGACGACCACTTCGGTGGCGACAATGAGGGAGGTCGAGGGCAACGCGAAGGACGGCGATATTGGCCAGAGCTCGGGGAGCAGCCCGGTGCCCGGGGAGGAGCGGGCGGAGGCAGAGGGCTGCGAACACGGGCCCACCAGGAACCCGATGAAGGACGAGTCCTCGAAGAGGGCCGACGAACTGTTAGACAACGACGCGATCCAGACCCTACGAGTGATCATTCTGTCCGAGCAGTTGTGAGGCGGTCGTTGATCGACGAAATTTTGCGGGGGATGGGGAGAATGAGAGGGAGAGAAAGAAAAAGGGTAGAGGACACTCGTTTATCTCGCCGACCGAATATATCGTTCGATGTTGTATTATATTTAAGTAGAGCGTAAGGAAAACCGCGACAGGAGGGACGATACGGGCGTCTTGACGAATCTCGCATAAAGGCTGACGCGATGCCATAAGAGGCCATACTTTCATGAAAAAGAGAGAGAGAGAGAGAGAGAGAGAGAGAGAGAGAGAGAGAGAGAGAGAAAGAGAGAGAGAGAGAGAGAGAGAGAGAGAGCAAGAGAGGCGATGGGCAGAGGGGTGAGCCGGACGAGAAGGGGATGGAATTCGTGTGCCGGGCTGGATCGCGAACGCGAGTCACGAACCGCCCCGCGACGCGGCGAATTATTGCGCCCCGATCGAGAGGGATCTTCGCCATGGAGTCTGTTGCCGACCCACGGATTTGTTCACGGAACGCTGCAATATTTCCTGGCCCCGGGACTTCTGTCCTTGTTTTCTTCTTAAACACAGTACGTGGACAAATGCGCCGGTTGGAGCGAACGACGGCTCGCGCCGCGTCTCTCGAGAGCTGCGTCGGCTCCCGCCTTCGAACAGATTTCGCCCGAGTTTCGTGGGGGATGATGACTGGAGATAAGGGAGACGACGGCTTAATTGTCGCGAACTGGGCGAACGATCCACGGGGATCGTCGCGATCCGCGTCTCGATCCAGCACCGGCACGTCGAACGCCGGGACTCGGCCGCGAACCGCGGCCGGTCCTCGGCGCGTTACGCGTTTTGTACTTTTATATCGTGGACGATGCCGCCGATTCGGGCGACGAATCGATCCCGCGTGACCCGGCTCCGAGAGCCGGGCACATCTGTATGTACCATAAACTCGACTGCGCCGCGCGACGCGCCTAGGAAGTAAGCAATAATGCTCGGCGAACGACGCCGCGGCGGCCGCCGCTCGCCGCGTCTGCGATTATTCCAATGCTGCTGCGATTCCGCGAACAATTCTTCTCGTCGCCTCTCGCAGAGGAGTCTTCTGCGGTAGAGAATTTTGTTAAGAGCGTTTATCAGATCCTCGCGAATCGCGTTTTGAAATTATAAAAGACGACCGGTTTTTTGAACTTTGAACTTTTGCGAGGAAATCGCGGCGATGTCGATGCACGATGATCATTTGCGAAACTTCGCACGAGTGTATGTTCTCTAGGTTATTGTTCGAGAATTTAGGGGTTGGTTCAGAGGTGAGATTTAAGGGTGAGATCAATTGTTACATTCGAGCAGGCTGTTCTTCTTTACGCTTGTGTAAATCGCAGATGACAGAAGCTGCGGGAAATAATTCAAACGCGACGCTTGTCGTATTTTTATGCGCTGTATTTTGTGTATTTGTGTGCAGGAAGTGTACAGAGAAATGTACAGAGAAATATTGTTTGTTATCGCTAAACAGTGGATTTTTATGCTAAATGAAAGATCGTCTGCGTCGATCGCGATTCGTGTAAACCGAGTAGCAAGTTCTTTCTTCGTTTAATTACTTTTATAAGTTGAACAAGCTACGTTGTTGATGTTGCATAATTTTTTTTCAATATTTCTACTGTTTCGCAACCAATAAATTTTGCCATGAATGCACAAAAGTGCAGTTTATCGGTGTCAATCACAGCGAATGCACAGAAAGAATCTAAGGCGACAGTTCTGAAATAAATTAGAAATAATTCAGAAATAATTAAATAATTATGCTCGGACATTCTCTGAGGCGAGCAAGATTATTCTCCCGAAGCTTCCAAAACTCTTTTGCCAGACGCTGGACTCAGAAATACGATGCAACTTCGATTTGAATTATTTTCGGACATCGTCTGCGATTTATAAAAACGCCAACGTACACCAAGCTAAATTCATAAGCGCGAACTAATTAAATCAGCTGACTCTAATTAACACTTGTGCGAAATATCGTCAGGATCGTTTCTCATCGGTCGCCAGGGTGTTTCCGCGTCGATGGAAATCGCTTGCGGCGACCGCAGCCATGATCTCGAATTGGTCGACGCGCGTTAATATCTTACTCGCGTCGAATCGAATGCATTGTAAGCATTGTAAGCATTGTAAGCATTGTAATCGAAGCATTTATAATCGCAGCATTGTAATCGCAGATTGAGACGGTCGGATCTGGTTGCACAGGGGCCGCCGGGTCTCGTGCGTTCGTCTGTTCTGTAAATAACAATAAACGTATCAGTACTTAACGAGCCGAGACGCGATTCATACGTCGGACCAGGCCCGAGGAACGTCGAAGGTCGTCTCGCGTCGCGAAATAGTCTCGTTCTCCGTTCGTCCCTCGCGCGGAACGAGCGGCGGAACGATCGCGAAAAAGAAAGAGAGCGAGCGAGCGAAGTTCCTCGGGGACCGATGCCGCCGTTTCGCGTCTCGGTGGCCGTGTAAAGCCGAGTGTCCATGTGACAGTAAAACTCTCGAGAGTTGCTCTATAGTTTCGTATATACGGGACCCGTCAGGCCCTTTACCCCTGCCCGCGTCTTGCCTAGATGTACCAGAGACACTGTCAGATAGTTTTGCAAGAGTTGCCTTGTAGCCTTGCCAATAGCCTTGTGAGCTTGTGAATTTTGTGAGACGGCCATTTATCTGACAGTGACCCTAGCATGACTCGAGTCTCGACACTCCAGATACAGGGAGTCCCAAAATTATGGCACTCGTGGAAAGCAAGAGGTTCCTAATGTCATTTGAAGTAACTTTTTCCTCAGCGAAATTCCAATCCGCGGCTTCGTTTGCGAGTTATTAACGAAAAACGGAGGCCAATGAGAGGCGAGATCGGCTGAGTGGCTCCGCCCAGCTCCACTGAGTGGCTCCGCCCAGTTCCGCTGAGTGGCTCCGCCCAGTTCCGCTGTGTGGCTCCGCCCAGTTCTGCTAAGTGGCTCCGCCCAGCTCCACTGATTAGCTTAGCCGCCTCGCGCCAGCCGAGCTCTCCTCTCATTGGTCACTGCTTTTCGCTAATAACTCGAGAACGATGCCTCGGAAAAAATTTCCGCAAAGGAAAAAGTTACTCGAAATAACCTCAGAAACCACTTCCCGGAGGCACCATAATTTCGAGGCACGCTGTCAGGCAACACGCTTATTCTTATAAAGAATAAGGAGCCTGTCGCGGGCCTCTCGGCACATGCGAAACCATGAAGCAACTCTCTTGCGACCTTTGCTTCTCAGATGTACACTCCGCCTTAAAACTCGCGGACATCGCGATGCCGGAACTAGCGCTTCTAACGTTAATAATTAATTTGTTGGCTCGCGCGCACTCCGTCGCGCGTTAATTCCCACCACCCCCGTTGACGAAGCGCGCCACCTCCCCATTAGTTTCGTAGGATCGGGAGAACGCGGCGCGCGTTTTAGGAATATTCTCGCGTAACACACGTAGCGTACACACCTTCGTTGAAGTGTTCTTATTTTTCTACCGATCGGCGAACGGGATCGACGCGGCCTTCGCGCCCGCGTCAAATCGTTCGCCGAAGATGTTCGTGTCTCTTGATTCGTGAACCTCGCGGTTAGGGGAGAGCGTGATGATAAAAGGACCAGCCGGGATCGTACGCGTTTGTTCCTTTCGACACAACAATTGTGATCTCATTTCTTCGCTGGGGAACGATATCGTT